AAAGTAAAGCTTTGTCCAGTTAACGTTGCACTGTAGAAGTGCTCCTTGGTTGATTTGGCCCATCTCTACTGCTAACTTGCGCGCAAAGACTACCAAGAAAAGATATTATAGATGGGCAGCAGGACATGTTTAAATCAATTTAGAATTCGATGCAGAAAAAGAACATATATCTACTTTAAACGATGTCTGAAACTTCCTTCAGATTATAGGAAACGCTTTGAGAAAATGAATATTACCGCATCCCTTGACGATGGGTAGAAAATGAAAAGAAAAAATACAATTTCTGTACATTCATAAGGGCACAAGTATTGAGAATAAAATATTATTCATAAAAAACAGTAAACTTTATTTTAATTTATACATTGATTGAACTCTCTAGAAATCAAGTCAAATGAATGCTAGGCTTTAATAAAACTTAAAGCGTAATAAGCTTTGGTAAAGAGAATTGGGCGATCCATATTGCAAAAAGGCTACACATATGTTCCGTTAGACCAACACTGGAATATTTCGTCGTTGCAGATCGCCACGTTATCATTGACATGTTCAATTAATCGAATCTGTGGATAAAAAACTTTTGCTTTGTACATTAAGGAATATACCTTGACACGGTAGGAAAACAGATTATTATTAATGGCTTTAGTTTTGCATGAGAAACATCGGTTTATCTTAGGTAGTCTTAGATGAAATTGACAGATATGTGAATGTGTAATTGACTCGCCAAATTTAAATATTCCTAACCGTCTCGTAAACCGTCGGCAATCTTTCGTATAAATTTCCCAATGTAAACTTAATTATGAATTATTTAATTTACTTGGAATCCTTTCTAAAAACCTCGAATAGGTGACAACACTTTTTGTGATATTATCTGTTAGTTTAACAGCAAGTTTGTATCGAGCTACTATTGAGATTAATTTTCTATCATTGAATTGTGATATTTGCGTCGATCTACATTTGCTTTACAATTTTTATGAGATCTATTTATAAATCGATTATTTACAGGAGTTTATATAAGCAACGTTTTAGTGTTTCTTCTCGTCTTGCCCGTTCAAATATTACGATACACTCAATATCACTCGTCTGACCCGATTGACTTCTCCTCTCCAGCAAACACTTTGCTGATATGTCTTTTTGCAAGAAATTTACCAAACAAAATTTTATTGTGACATTTCCCTGTTAGTTCCTGGCTTTGTACCCATCAATTACACTGCAAATTGTTGTTTATCTTTCCGCCAGTGGCCAGTCGCCAGTTGCGTGACAGGTAAAGTATCATGAATTTATATATTTTTCGAATTCAGTTTCTTAGAAAATCGGTTTGTGTTCTTTCAGTGCGATTTTTGTAAGAATATATATATACATGTATATATATATATATATATATATATGTAAACTTTACTTTCTTTTATTATTCAAGCATTGCCGATATCGCAGCTAGACTAAAAATGTGTAATTAATAAAGACGAGTTACGACCCGTCTATAAACTTAATGCTGTTCTTATGAATATTTTTGTCAAGGATGCTCATGCTCGGCTCAGTTCAGTGATACATTGATCAGTTTGATGCGTATCGCTTGCGAAGGAAGGCACGTGTACCTTTTCATTTTGAATTTTTCTTCTTTTCTTTTTGCTTCTATTTCCTCATTTACATATCGATTTTTTAATTTAATTATTTTATTTTTATATAATTATAAACTTTACTATCATTGCTTGCGGTTAAGTTGAATTAAATCCATAAAAACTTATCTATAGAATATAACAAAACAAAACTTAACGGCAGGGCGGGATATTCAAAATTAATTTTCCTATCAACCGAAGAAAAGGTAACCGTCGAAAAATGTAGACTAAAACGAATAAAATTTCATTTTTGCTAGGTATTCGCGCTCGTAAATTTATGTTCCGTATTCAATACACTTTGATAAATAAAAACTCAAAGTTCAAATGACGGCGGTCCGTGTCCAACAAAAATGATCGCATAGTAATGTTAAAAGTCACGTGCAACCTACCAGTTATTAGACTCGGCATCTACTTAACGTTACTTTGCCCATCTCTTTTAAATTAAAACGTGCTTTTAAATTGGAGAATACGCTTTGACTTCAAGTGTTTTAAATGCACAGATACGGTGAAGTGGAAAAAGTGAATAAAATTTACGTAATATGTTTCATTGGTTGGTATAAGCAACATTTTTATTCGGCAGCAGGGGATGACTTATTTCATTTTGTCCATCAATAAGGTATTCATTTGTTTCTCGTTTTTGATTTGTTTATTTCCTTAGATGATCTTTAATGATCTTTTCAATAACAATCGAAGTTTTCGTTTCTTGGAGCAGGCATAGTTGAAAGGTATTATGGATTAAATTTCAAAAATGCTTTTTTAGTTTGTTGCTACTAGAATGCATTAAATTAATTATCAGGCTTGTCTTTATGATTTGCTTCTTCTTTAATTACGATATTCTTTCGATTAAGCGTCTCGTCTTCATTAATTATTTCCTTAAGTTTTTATTAGCTGTGTGATCAGATGTAGTCGTTAGACTCTTGTGTAATTTGTTGGCAATTGAAACGGTATTATGGGAAAACCGGTAGGTATAAACTTATGTACAGGTTTAGTTTTTAAATTTTCGAAACCTTTTTCATCTTTTGCTATTCCCTTCAAAGGCAATGCACCGTCTATTGTTTCTAATACCACAGGATTGATGACTTCTTGTTCGAGTTTAGCCGGATTCAAGTTTATGTCTTGTTTTGCCTTAATAGGCTCGACGGGTAAAAGAATATCGGTTAAATTCTGTTTTATATTTATTTGATCAACTATTGAGGTGATATCCTCTTCAACGGGTTTTCTAATTTCCATCTGGCCTGAATAATCATCAGCGCGAGCGGTAAAGTGATGTGTTACAATAAGGCCTTGATCAGGTTGTACATAACCGTAAGAGCCTTGTACTGTATTATTACCATATTTACTCTCATTACGGAATTGTATATTACCGCTTGCTTTGTTATTGATCTCATAACCGAAACTGTAGGTGTGCGAGCCTAAACAATATTAAAGTTGTACATTAAATTTTGCCTCTAAGAAAATATCCAGTAAAGCAATTTTTTTTTTTTTTTTT